ATGCGAACGGGAGCCACGGAGCGCTGGCTGGCGATGAAAGTTCCTCTGAAGCGACAAGAGATTTGCTTCAAAGGGGCCTGTGAAGAGGTTCCGCTTTAATTCTGGGGAGGAAAGTGCTGCATAACCTAATTAATACATGCAAACAAATACGTATACACACACACATCCCCTAAAGTCCACAGAGCACGGAGCACTGCAGACGAACAGCAGCATCCTGGTGATGCTGCGGCCCAGGCACTTCACAGACTTCTGCACTGAAGTCGTGTTGCTGCCAAAGGGAAAGGAAATGCAGTTTTATTTTTAACTAGTGTATCCAGAGGCAAGGAGGAAGGGATGTGCAACAGTGGAAGAAGTAGATGAGGACCCTGGAGATCTCAGCTCAGTTCTTGGCTCCTCTGCAAACTCCCCGTGCGACGTTAAGCAGGTCACTTCATCTCTCTGCGCTTCATTTGCCTTCTGCAAAGTTTGGAGAGCGTGATCCTCCCTCCGGTCTTGTCTGCCTGGGTCGGGAGCACACGTTATTTCACTTGATTTGCTTTGATTCCGGTGCAGTGCACGGAGCTGGCGCAGTGCGGGAGAGGAGCCATGGCCGGGGAAGTAGCAGGGAGACATCAGTTGTGCCTTCATGCAGGCTGTGCTTTCATTACAAAATAGAGTTGTGCAGAGGAAAGGCTTTGGTTTTCACTCAGTAAAACATTGCATGGGGTTAGAGCTGGGTGCAGTGACTGCTTCTTGCAGCCTGATCTGCACTGGCAACCGTTCTGTCATTCTGCAAACATTGGCTTTAGAGGAAGAGGGAGGCTCAGCCCTGGTGAATCCTGCCTCAGGGTGCGGTGTCATTAGAAGTCCTTGGGAAATTCTTATCCCATGATGTGCTGTGGCTGGCCCCAGGGAGGGACGGTGGCCTGGGAGCAGCACTGCTTGGGGGGCACGGCCACCCTGGGCTGCACTGTGCATGGGGACCTGCTCAGAAGCAGGGATTCGTGTCCCAGCCCAGGCACAGCTTTGGGGTCTGTGGGGAGAGCATCCGCAATGGGCAGGCACCTCGTACTGGAAGTGTTGAAGGTTGTGCACATGAATCATTCATTTGCTGTCCTGGCCTTTTGGGGTCATCGAAACAATTTCTCTGTTGGGCTCTATCCCACCATTACCGTGTCTGGCTGCTTGTGCCCGTTTATTGCCTTTTCCCCGACAGTGCTGGGGAGGGATCTGTCCAACTGTCACCTCTCCCTCCCCGCCTCCCTTGGCACTTGACTGACAGTTGGCATCCTGCACACAGCACTGAGCTCCTTCAGCACAACACCTAAAGCATCGCTTCAGCACCCAGCAATTCCTAGCCACTTGGCTCCCATCCATTACTGAGGGACGGGAAGAGGCAGCTCTGCCTATGGAAGTGCTGGTTCCCTTATGCCCGAAGGAGGCTCTGTCCTCCTCAGGACGTTCTTCCTCGCCATGACCCATGTTTTTCCCTCTGCTCCCCCTTCCCTCTGCCCGTGCCGGCTGTTCCGTGGGCAGGATTGCTGCAGGCAGGCCGGGCTGGCCCATCCTCACAGCCCAGTGGTTTGTGACAAGTTGTGTTTTCCGGAATACTGGTGGGGTAATTCTGCACATCCTTGTTTTGTCATGTCAGGCGCTTAAAGTGTCACGGAGATTGCACCATCCTCAAAGCTCATCTGTCAGCACCAGTGAGTTCTTCCAGTAAAAGGGTATCATCAACTGCTGCAGGAGGGAAAAACACAGGAGAAAGGACCTGCATGAAGGGTTTCTATTCCAGGCTCTCTGTGGCCGACCTTGAGCCTGTGCAGCAGCACCCAGTGCCCGCGCTGGCTGCTGCAGCATCCCTGTCCCCTGAGCATGCAGATGGGGGTCTGCACCCAGGTAGTACAGAGCGTATGGATGGACAGACTGAGAGGTGCGGGGAGGGAAAAAGAGGGTTGTGGATGGATGTGGATGGTGCCAGTGCTGCTCTGGAGTGGTTGTGTGTGAGGAGGGTGAGGATGCTGTCACTAACATGGACAGAGAGCTGGTGTGGGAATTGTAAGTGGGATTTTAGGCTGTGCTAAAACCTCCCACAGGATTTGGAGCCAGTCAGCAACTGTTCTGGTTGTCTGGGTGAGTTGTTTTGGGTTCGGGGTATTTTTGCCAGATATATATAACTAGAGCTTGATAGAACGTGGGAAAAATGTTGATCTAGGGCTGGAAAAGGGAAGCACGCAGTATTTGCCAGCTTATCTATCAGTAAACCTCCTCCCTGGGACAGGCTGCATCAGGGTTACTGGTGGTGTTTAACTGTGGGATGATGCTTCTGCTGCACCAGGCCAGAGCAGTTGTGTGTTCAGGGTGAGAACGGCTCAAACCCTGGTCAGGATAAACTCTGCAGTCTGTTAGCTTGCTCTGGAATTGTACCAGTAATCTGTGGTTACATTATTAATGTAGTATTAAAAGAACCTGGGGCCTCTGAGGAAATTCCTGTTTCAAATAAATAATTACTGGAGCCAAGATAATTTATTAAATTAAATTGAAAAACCCAGGCACACTCTGTGTTTGCCTTCAGGTGATTCTGCTTTTTTAACTACCAAATATCCACTGTTACTCGCATCGCCATCCCCAGGGGCTGCAGGCTGGCTGGAATGCCGATGCAGCCACAGCCTGGGTACCACGTTGCTGGGTGAGATCCAGGGTGGGCATGGGATGCGGGACAGCATGGAAAGGTTTCCTGTGGAAGAGGTGTCCCCGTGGCAGCGTGGACAAGGCTTTGTGGTGTGTTGTGGTTGGCTGTTCATGAGCGAGGCCGTTTCAGTCAGTTGGTAATTTTCATACAGCACTTTGCTGAAGTGAATCCTGAGCCTGGTGCAGGACAGGGCTCCGCTGCCGCTCACAAGTGCCACCCGCTTTGGCGGGTTTTATCTCCGCTTTGCCGAGGCGTGTGACAAATTAGGACTAAATCAGAACCTCAAACGATGCCGGCGCGCAGAAACAGGAATGCTACTGCAGGAAACAGATAAAAATCCTTCACACAGCACCGTGGCTTCAGAAGCAGAATAAACAACGTTTAAAAATGGATAAACACAGATGGCAGATTTCCCTAAAAAAGAGAAGTGTTTTGAGAAAAATAAAAGCCCTTAAAAAGGAATAAAATATGAAAAGGAGGAGAAGTGGGTCAGGAAGGAGCCGTCAAAGGAAAGGGGGAAACTAACAAAACGGAAATCAAAGACAAAGCGGATCCCGCCGGCACGTGGCTCCAGGCAGCTTCCTGCTGGGTGCACCGCGTGTCCTTGGTCTCATCCAGCTCCATTCCTTGGGCATCTACACAGGCACTGGCTGTGGCAAATAACCCCTCACAGTGTGTGGGCATGAGGAGGGCTGGAGGCTGCTGGAGATGCCCCTTGGAGCTGCCCAGCCAGAGGGGTCTGAGCCCTCCTGCAGGTACCAGTGTGCAGGAAATAAAGGAACCACGTTTAAACTTCCAACTCACCCAGCATCGGTGGCAGAGGAGAGGGACGTTTCAAAGACTCATTTATTTGCCCCATTAACCATTTTAATGGCCTCTCTCCAATAACAACCGTTCCCATGGTTAGAAGAGCAGGTGTTCAAATAATCGGAGTGATTGAGGAGCCTCGGATGGTCATTATTATTAATACCCGCAGTAAAAGCAAACGAGGGAGACGTACAGCCCGTGTGCTCTTCGATACCCTTTTGGTTCATAGCCTGGCAGCACTTTCCCTGCGGTGGCTGGTGGCAGGTTAGTGGTAGCAGTGACCAATGGTGCACTGCAGCAGGGAGAGGGGGATCTCCTCCCGCAAATGCCTCCCCAAAAGCAACGTGGGGCTACGAGTTTTTCTGTCCACTGTGCTGTTGGCTAAAACTGACTCTGTTTAGGAGGGGCAGGATGTTTTAATGGCCAGACCTGTGAGCTGATGTGGGGATTTGCAAACTCACTGCTGGCAGTGAGGAGTCTTCTAGGCAGCATTTTTGGTGATGTGAGAGGCTGTGGTGATATTGGTAACAGGAGTGAAAATCTGCCCGTGTCCCACCAGGGACAGATCACAGCCTGCACAGCACCTTGTGGCTGTCATCCTGTATGTACTAACCCATGTAGGAAACACTGAGCACACAAAAAGCTTCAGTGGGCACATAAATACTTCTGTTAAGTCAGTGTGCCCCCTTGGGTGCTTCATGTGAATCTTGCAGTGTTCACAGAGCTTTTAGCCTGTTCACTCACACTGCTGAGGGATCAATGGCAATACCAGCCACCAGCAAGGGAACTGGAAAGGGGAAAAAAGAGGAAACGTTGGTGCTGGGGGTTTGCTCAATGCCCTTCAGCAATTAATGGTGAGAAGGGACGTCCAGTCACATTGCAACCTGCAATCTTAACAGTGCTCGTGGCGATGCTGCCCATGCTTTCATCCATGGAGGAGGAAAACCACTTCTTGTCCTTAGCAAAGAGCTCAGTCTGTAGAATGAAAATCACCTCCCAGAGCATTTTCTTTTGCCAAGCTACCAAACACCAGTTCACCCAGTTACAGTGAGCACAAAACCAAGGCTGCACAAACACACCATCTTTCAACAGAACTCTCTTTTAATTGTGTTGGGAAAGACTCCATCTAAAACAGGGCAAAGAGGAGGATCAAGCCATGTGCTTTACCCAGGAGACAGACAAGGGCACTGCTGAGGCTTGCACGCATCGACTCCATCCTCCAACAGAAAAGCAGAGGTAACTTGGGCTTCCACCTGCATGTTAACAGCTGATAAGAAATAAGGTAAGGAAAGGGCACAGCTTCTCAAGAGGCTGGCAAACAGAAAAGAAAAGGGAGATGCTTCTAAGCATTTGCTACGGGCTGCAGGGCGAGGCGAGCGATCAACTGGCGCTCCTCTCGCTTTCTCCATTCTCTATCAGCTTCCTTTTCTTTTCATCCGTTTTCCTCTTGAAGATGCTATCTCTGTAGAACTGAAGCTCTTTGATGCTTTCCCTGATGTCATCCAGTGCTCTGAAAGAGAATTGAGATGGGTCATCTCCAGCTACATCTTGGTTTGGGCTGTAAGAGACCAAGCTCTGACAGGCAGGGATCACACCTCCACTGGAAATCGAAACAGCCCTCAGAGTCTCAGCTACGTGGAGAGCAATAAAAGTCCAGCAGCACTGACAGGAACACACGGCTTATTAGTTTATGGCACCGTGGGACATGGAAGCTCCCGAAAGCCAACAGGTTCTACAGCTTCCGCTATTAAAAGCAATTCAATCTGAGACAAGAGATGGGGGCCCTGGAGACGTGCTCCAGCTCCTGCTTTGTCCTGCTCCACCAGACAGCATGGTCCATATGAAGCAGTGACCTCGCTGTGCAGCACAGACACCCACCCACCACTTCAATGGAGACCACCACAACAGTCGTTCCTCTTTTCCTCGTACCAGATCCCCCTCGCCTGCCCAGCACCACTGTGCCAGAGCAGAGTGGCAAAGGTTCCGTGACTCCTTCCCACTGCCCTTAGGACAGTCAAAGCTCCAAGCACCAAACAGCAGCCTGACACATGGTGAACTCCTGAAACTGTTTTAATAATCCCTTTCCCTACACTAACCAGGCTTCAGACAGGAGAATACGAACATATGATGGAGAAGAGCAGCACCGCTGCCTGTATTGGAAGCAGTGTGCCTGGAACTCAAAAGGAAGCTCCATGTTCTGCTCATGAAGTCCCTGCACAACTCCAGTACAGACAGAAGCAGCAACCTCACCTGTGAGAAGCCGCCTTCTTTGGTGCAAACTCGTATTCTTCTGGATACCAGCGTCTGTAAGTGGGGGAAAAAGGGAAATGGGATTCAAAACCACATCAGGTGGCTGCTGCGGTCTTGTTGCCATTGCAAAAACCCCATCATGCACCACTCAGAGCAGCTCAGGGCTCATCCTGTGCCCCCACCAGAGAGGAATAAACAAAAGGAGAAGGAGGCTGGCAGCAGCCTTCCTGCCCCTCCAGCCTTCAGCCTCATCTGAGAAGAGCATCATTAGCACCACATTAACAGGCTTCCCCAGATCTTCCCTCACAGCATTGTTCTTGCAGGGAACACTGACCTGCAGAGTTCTTTGACAGTGCTCACGTCAATGATCCGGTAATGAAGATGCCTCATGAACTGTGGCATGTATTTGTCAAGAAATTTCTTATCTGCGTGAACAGAGTTACCTACAGAGACACAAAACAAGATGTTAGCTCAGCGATGTTGCAAAGCTCCTGCAAAAGACACCTAAGGGGAATGGCTCAGCGAGCTGGGCAGAGATGAGGGGTAGGACAAGCTATTCCCAAAAAGCTTGTTTAGCCCTTTTTCTAGCAAATATGATTGCAAAGGTTTGTCAGACTTTCCTTGTGGGATCAGGCATGGTGTTAATACTTAATCCGTCTATAATAATTCAGATTGCTCCTACCATGTCTGTCAGGTAAGTATCCAAGTATTTACCTGTGTTGTTACAAGTATTTACAAAAGCTTTTCTGCTGAGGGAAAATGGGCCCTGTTAATTTCACTTAACACCAGTCCCACTATATGTGAATGGCTGGAATGTTGTGGCAGGACAATGGGGAGATCTGTATTTGATGTCTGGTTCCATGCACAGCGAGGAGAAGACTCCTTTGGGTTGCTGCTGGGATTCTATGGTCAGAGATGGCTGTCGGCAGTTAGGCTGCCTGCCTCAATTGCAAGTGTACACAGAAATGTTAATGCACAAAAGAACTGAAACTGCCATGATGTGCAAGAGCCGCTTTAGGGAGTCAGCACAATGGGTGATGCCCTGGCTGAGCCCCTCCTTACTGAGCAGGATTTGATCTGCCTGCACAGACACCAGCACACCCCACCAGGAGCACCAGCAGCACTGTCGCTATGGGTAAGACAGAACACACGTACCTGCAAGGGGACAGACACCCGGTGGGGTCTGCTGCCGCACAAAGGACAGGAACTCATACTCTGCCTGCTGCAGGGAAATCTTACTCTCCTTCACAGCCTTGGTAAGGCCAGACTGCAAGAAAGAGCCAGGTGTCATCAACCACAAACACATGAAAATATTCCCAGAAAGTAAAACTCAACAGGAGTCAAGGCGGCAGCAGCAGCACAGGCCTCACGACACTGCCACTGCTGGGGGTTGGGGGTTCTCTGTTCCTGGGTGCTGTAACTGCTGGGGGTGCTTCTCAACTACAGAGACATTAGAGAGGCCTCATGTATCTGCCCGCCCCTGGGTGACCCAGGAGAGTGTCCTGCTTCTCCCTGCTTCAGGAGCAGCACTCACCTGCCCCAGCGCAGCACACACACAGAGAGGTATAAACCAACAGAAAGAATCGGGATCCTGCTCGACTGTTTACCAAGAGTCCTGTAAATCAGAAACGTTCCCTCCCCCTTTTCCCACCAGTTAAATGTCAAACCTGCTGCTTGCGCTCGCAGTGATTTATTTCCATCTGGCTGCTCTATATATTTCCACGCCTGTGCCGCAAAACTCTACTTGACAGATCCAAGTGGTGGTTAAAAAATTCATTATGTGGCTGCATTTTCATCTATATTCTAATTGCTTCTCTTTTCTTAGGCAATTAAAAGTAAGTAGCTCCTGAGGAGCAGTGGCAGCGTGTGCTGCTGTCTCCAGCCCACTCCTGAAGCACGGCCGAGCTCGAGTCCTCCGCTGGGGAAGGGGAAAGGCGCCCAGCACAGTAAATTAATATTCCTTTTCCAAACTCCTGCTAATCCTTCCTGGGGAAAGCGGGGTGCCAAAGGGAGGGGGGCTTACAGCATCTTCAAACTTCAGCCTTAATTGAAAAGTAACTCGGATTTCAATTTTCAATCAGGGATTGGACAATCCGTTCGCTTTCTGGCTGCTGGCAAGGAGGAGGCTTCCCTCGGTAGCTGGAAGAACTAGTAAGTGTAATCCCTTGCTGCAAAAGTTCAGCTTTCAGTGAAAAACTGACAGTGGGGGCACAGTGCTGAGGGGACAAGCAGAAATAACAACCCCTCTTTACAGCACATCAGCCTCTTTAATCCTGCAGGTACCTGAATCTGCACTGAGGAATGTGCATTCTGTCAGCTCTGGGCTACTCTACACACATCCTGTGCCTGTTTTCACCTGAGACTTCAAGTAACACCTTCCCCTTCCCCACTGGAATGGTTTTGCTTTATTCTGCGCACCACAGAACAGGCTTTACCCAGAGGAGCTTCCAGAGTCGCCTCTCTCACCCTGCCTGCAGCTCCCCCGCAAGCTGCTGCTCCGGCCACTGCAGCTCACACAGCATCTCCCACACTGCTCAAACTGATTAAAAACCAGGCTATGAGGCACGGGCCACTTCAGGGCTGTAGTGTGGCTCAGGTACTGGATGAGGGGTAAAGGTTCAGGGATGCAACCTGCACCTGCACACCAGACCTTGAACAAAGCAGTACATATCACCTCCTCAGCACAATCTAAGGATGATACTTACTGTCTGCTGTTCTTTATCCCATGTTATAAACACATAAATGTCTTGGCTTTTGCAAATCATAGGTGTGGTTATGTGGATATAACTCTATGAGTTTACAATAACAGAAACAAAGCTCGCTAAAGACACAAGATTAGACAACAACTTAAAAAGGGCCAGAACTCTTGAGCAAAACGGAGTCACATAGCAAAAGAATTTGTAAAGGTAGATGGGTTGGGGGGGCACTTGATATAAGAAAAGCTAGTGCCCTCTGACTGCAAACTGCCCATTACAGCTTCTTAGGTGGCTGTACCGCAGCTCCTCATCCTGAACAACACATCATTCCCAGCGCGGCAGAGAGAGGGAATCACAGCATGCTTGCTCCAGGAGGGTTACCTTCCCGTGGTGCTCCTTGCACCAGTCGGACATGCTCTCCAGCAGCTCGTCGGGCTGATTAATGATCAGGTTCGGGCCCTGGCGGGAAGAGAAGACGGCAAAGGTAACACCCCCGAGCCGGGAACGGAGCGGTTTCCACCCGGACAGGGCCCGGCGATGCCCAGGGCGGGAGGAGCGGCTGTTCCGAGGGCATGAACCGGCGGCTCGGCTCGGCTCGGCTCAGCCCTGCCCAGGGCCGGCGGCCGCCCCACGCCCTCCTCCCCGGCCCTGTGGAGGGCAGCGAGGGCCGTTACCTGCCCCCAGCAGGGCCGGGAGCGGGCCGGGCTGTGCTGTGCCGTGCCGGGGGCAGGCGCCTCACCTCGGCCAGCACGTTGAGGTCGCAGTCGGTGATGAGGCAGGCCATCTCCAGGATCTGGTCCTTCTCCACGTCCAGGCCCGTCATCTGCCACAGAGCGCAGCGGCACCGTCAGCGCGGCCGCGGGTCCCCCGTCCCTCCCGCCGCCTCCCGTCCCGTGCTGCCCGCACCTCCAGGTCCACCCAGACCATACGCTGGCCCATGTCGCCGCCGGCCATGCCGGACGCCCGCCGCCGGCCCCGCCACAGCCGTTCGGCGCAGCTCCGCAGGCGGCGCAGGCCGGCGCGGCTGCCGCCCAGCATCGCCGCCAGGCCGCAAAGCGCCGCCGCCGCACTACAGCTCCCGGCAGGCCCCGCGGTGCCGCGACCCGCTGGCAGGCGGGCGGCGGGCGCGGGGGATGCTGGGAGATGTAGTCGCGGCGGCAGCACAGCGTGCGGCTGCGCTGCGCTGGACCGCGGCCTCGCCCGCCCCCGGCTAACAGTAGAGGGAGGCTGAAAGGGAGGGGAAAGGAGTTTGCACGCGGGGGGTTTCCAGGGAGGATTTAATGCTTTTCTCTGAGACACCCGAGTGTTCTGTATCCATGACACCACCAGAGATATTAAAGACACCAGGAAACGGACACGGCGCCTTCCCATGGAACACAAACGGCGTTGGCGGCTTCTCCGTCACATCAGCAAACGGCTGCCGCTGCCCCAGACCACTGGTTCCCCCGTAAAAAGCCCTGAGGTACAATTAACACGTTCAAAGTGGAGATTCCGGTTTCGGGACTGCTGCTGGGACTTGTACAAACATTAAAAGGTAACGCTGTCGGGTTGTGTGTGTGGGTTTTTCACACATATACTTGGTAAGAAAGGGGTTGCGCTTTCTGTCCCATGGAGTCCATCAAAGCCCCCTCCGAGGGGCTAATGCCGAGCCTGGTGCCACCTGGGCTCTCTCCGGTAGTCGTGGCTCCAGCTATCCCGGTGCCGGTCGTCGTAGCCAGGCTCCTCTCTGCTGGCGCGGTAGCGGTGCTCGTGATCGTGGCCACGCTCCCCAAAGCGGGGCTGCTCGCGGCTGCCGTGCCGCCCGTCGGGGTGGTAGGGGTGGGCGGCCAGCCGGCCCTTGCGCAGCAGCTCTGGGTGCCGTGGCAGTGAGCAGCCTGGGGTGGGGTGGTAGCTGTGCGCAGGGGGCTGGTAGCCGGGAGGGCTGAAGCCAGCCTGCTCGTACTTGCCCCCGAAATGAGGCTGTGGCCACGAGGTGCTCTTCAGCTGTGGGGAGAAGAGGAAAAGGGTCAGTGTGTTTGATGCGCTCGCTTAAGCCATTCCGTGGTGGAGAAACCAGCCTTCATCCCACTCTGAATACAAGGGAATTGAAGGGGTTTGGATCCGAAACAGAGCTAAACGCTACCTTAGAGCAGCTGTTACTGGCTGCTTCCACTACAGCAACGCTCCTAAACCTCAACAACCCCCCTGTGTCACCCAGCTCAGCAGCAGAAAACATAATTCCTCTGGAACTGTCATCTCATCCCCCCAAAAAACCCCATTCCCACAACCTCTCAGGATCATTATAGGAAACAAGTGTTCAAAACCAGAGACAACACCATCATGCATCACTTGCCAGCTATGGGCACCATTAGGACAAGCGAAGAGCGTACCATCGCCTGTCTCTGGAGGTTGTCAGCCGTCGGCAGAGACCGCTGCATTGATGGGAACCCCGCCGGTACCATGCCATCAGGACTCCTGTCATATCTGCAGGAGAAGAGAACCACAGGGAATGTCAGCCTTAAACAAGCCTACAGCAGTCCAGGGGGCACTGCCATCACCGTTGTGTTTTGCTGTTGGAAACTAAACACCGAGGCCCATACCTGCTGCCGGTGGATGCTGGGTGCGGCACACCCAAGGGGCTGGTGCCGGTGGTGCCGTGTGGGGAACAAGACTCCTGAGCCGCGTGGCTGCTTCCTGCAGAGAAACAAACGTTCTGTGAGACCGGGAAACACGAGTTGGAGGCACTCGGGGATGAAGTGAACATGCGAGATACTTTTCCCACAGGCTTCATTAGCTCTTGAGGTTCATCAGTGACCTGCAAAAGCACACAGCCCAGCAAGACACCGCGGCTGTCCTGCCCACCGGGCAAGGTGCCACTGGATGCTGTCTGGAGGGGGATGCAGATAAGAGTTTTGCTTCCGCCTTCCCTTGTCCCCCATCGCGGGTACCTGATCGGAACTGGATCTTGATGGGCCGCCCGTACAACTTGATCCCGTTCAACAAGTTGAGCCCGTACGGGACGGATTCCTCGTGCTTGAAGTTCACGAACGCGAACTGCTTGGGGCGCCCATCCCGGTCCTTGGGGATCTTCACCTTAATTACCGGGCCCGCCTGCAACCGACCAGCACACGCGTTAAACCCACACGTTTGTCCTCCGGCGGCCGCCGTACCCGGGGCTCACCCCGCCGCGCGCTGCAGCCGCGGGCCTGCCCGGTGTGCGGCGCCGGTGCGGGCGGTACCTGGTGGAACAGCTCGAAGATGAGCTCCTCGGTGACGCGCGGGTCCAGGTTCCCCACGAACAGCGTCCGGTCCAGCTCCGCCGCAGCGCCCATGGCCGTGCACGGGCAGCGCGCGCTCAGCGGCGCCGCCCGCGTGACGTCAGTGCGGCGGCGTGCGCGCCACGCCCCTTCCGTGGGCGCGGCCTGGAAGGGGTCCGGTACCGGCGGGCGGGGAGCGGAGCCCGGTGGCCGGTGACGAGCGCGGCGTTCGGTCGGGGGTTGTCACAGTAAACCCGGGTTCTCGCTGCAGCGGGTGTGCCCCTTGCACCGGCCGCGGCTGCAGCAGGGCACGGCCGCTGGGTTCGGCCGGTAGAACCGTGACCGAGGTCTGAACGCCCCGGGGCGGTTGTGTGCGGGGCGGGGGGGAACGCCAAGACCCGGGATTCCCGCGGGGTTGCGGGGGGGGGGGGCTCTCCTGGGGCTCCTGCCCCTTGTCTCCCATGGGTGCTGCTGCAGGCGCCCCACCGAGCCGGATCCCCCCGCCGCCCATGTGCCATGGCCGGCGCTGGGGGCAGGTGTCGTGGAAGGGGTGCCTCGGGGTGCCTGGTGAGGCCGGGCAGCGTCTCCCGGCTGTTTCAGTCCTCCCCGTGCCACCTCCAATGGCTCTTCCCAGTGCCAGCTACCCCGCAGCTGCCTGGGAAGGTGCGGGATGTAAACCCGGGGCATTTCCCATCTGGAGAAAGTTTGGCAGGGGCAGTTGAGCCTTCATCTTTCATTAGGTTGCACTGCGTTATGGCAGATCCTGTTTTCTTTGTTAATGAGGTGCTGTGCATTTTCTTCACTCCATTACTTGCTGCCGCACCTAGAATTTATATTCATCTGCTTTAATGGTGTGCGCCTGGTTAGATTCTAACCAGTTACTCGTTCAGAAAGGAAATGATTACCTCGCGCTGCCAGGGCTCCCACTTTGCCTTAATTTCCCTGGAGCCTCATTTACTTCCCTCCGCTTTCTTCCCTTCCTGCGTTCTGGGTCCCACCGGACTCGCTGGGAGCTCGTGCCACATTCACACCACTGCCAGCTCGCTCCATGCACCGAGCACCCTGTGGCCAGGCCAGGGCCATCCGCAGCCAGCCTCGACCTGCAGCAGGTACTGACGGCTCAGGTATTGCACAGCACATCCCAGACCCAAGAAACCACGAGGTGAGGGAGCAGGGAACTGTTTTTCCCTTCTTGTGTTCCTGTTTAATGCCTTTTTTGCTTTTCAAAGCGGCAAAATGGAAAACCGAAAGGTTTTTTGCTTTGGGGGCAAACCACACTCCTTCAGTGCCTGTTTTCCCTCCAAATCCACAGGCACTCATGAGATTTCAGCCACTTCCACTTTCTGTTTGCAGCATTAGAAGAAACACTGGGTGTGTTACTCCTCCTGTGTCCATAGCCTGGCATGGTGGTCCAGGACACATCAATGTTCCTGCAAACAAGCACCACATCACTGCAGCTGTGGAGCATCTGAAGCTGCACAGAGAGGAAGGGAAGCAGCCAAAACCAGCACCTGTGGTGGGTACTGAACACACTGGGCTTGGGCCATGGTCCTGCTTCACTGCTGCAGCTGTGTGCTCAGACAGGGCACACGCAGCAGCAGAACAGCACCAGGCTCTTGGCCAGGAGAGCAGTTCAGCACTTCCTCAGGCTGTGACAGAAGGGGAATTGTAGCTACAAACTTCCCTGTGAAGGGAATCGTTGTGCTTTTGAAGCAGACCATAAAAACCTGGCGATGCCCATGTTGGAACAGTTAAACAGCAGCTAAAGGCACCAGCGTGTTCCAGAGAGCGTGGCAGCAGCTGCTGAATTCCTGCCTCTGCTGCACCCCTGGCAGGCACAGGGGGGCTTTATAGCCTTCAGAAGCAGCAGCTTCTATCCAGCATTAACTATTACATCCAGAGGTAAGCAGCGAGTGGGGCAGCCCGAGGGCAGCCTCTGAAACACCACTGGTGTCCAGCTCCGTGTCTTGGAGCCGGGCAACAAGGTTGTTCCCAGTGCTTGTGGCAGGGATGAAAATGAGCACCACTGGCACCAGGGAGGGTTTAGTAGAGGGGTTTTGATCAGGTTCTTGTCAACAAACTGAAAGGCAGGGGGTGGAGGGGAGGGCAAGTGCCACTGATCCCTGCAGGATGTGCTGAGCACTGTGCACTTTGTACAGAATCTGGGGAATGTGACTCATTCCAGCCTTCAGACTCTTCCTGGTCTGTTTCACACTCACTCCCTTACTGCTGCCATAAGTCATCAGTTTGTGACAGGACTCCACCTGTATATTGGGTGAGAAAATGTCTCACTTCTGTAGTCATTCTTGAACCAAAACTACCCCATAAGAAAGTAGGTATGAGCAAGGGAGGAGCTTCAGCCACCAATCCCACACTGCCCCTCAGAGCTGCTGCGGGTTGGGGCATGTGGAGTGCACTGAGACAAATTCTTACTGAAAATGCCTCGGCTTGAGTGTCTCTAAGCTGAATCTCTGGTATGCCGCAGGTCCGGCTGTCTGCAGCAGCGGCAGAGCCGCTGTGTGTGGCCAGCAGGGCTGCAAGCAGAGGAGGCTGCTTTGGGAAGAGCATCCTTTCCATGCACCAGCCCTTTGAGCCCCATCCCTGCAGCTCTGCCAGTGCCCAGCAGGTCAAGACTGCTGCGGCCACAGCATTGTCCCCAGCACTTGTTACACCCAGAAAGATGGGCAGGCAGCCCTGGTTCTGTGGGAGCTGGGGCCTGTCTGGGTGCAGGGTGCGCTGCTCCCCTTGACAGCACCTGTTCCCCCCGGCATTTCAGAGGGCACATGGGATGTGCCCAGAAACCAGAAATGGGTCTGGGTTTGGACAAGCTCCCAGCACAAATCCCAGCCCACACCATCACTGGAGCACTCATGAGTTTATTTGCTGTCAGGTAAAGGGATGGGTTTCTTGGGCAAGGATTTAGGACACGGGGCACGCTGCAGCTTCCCCGCCCCGAGCCCATGTGCTACGCGGTGGTGGAGGCACGCCGGCATGCCACGAGGGTCAGCACAGCTCTGCAGTCTGTGCGGGCATCACCAGGCATGTACGGCTGCATCTCGCTGAGCTTCATGTCAAAGCCAGCAGCCTCCACAGCCTCCTCCACCATGCTCCTCTCCAGGTAGAGGCACGAGAAAACCTGCTTGTTGAAGGCGTAGAAGGTTTCCTGGAGGACCGTCACCATCACCAGGTGCCCTCCGGGCTTCACCAGGGTGCTGATGTTCCTCAGGGCACTGCGGAACGTGGCCAGGTCCTTGCAGGCGGCCTCCAGGCAGAGGGTGGACACGATGCAATCAGCGGGAGGCAGGGATACGGGGGCAGTGGGGTTGGGTTTTGTCACGTCGCACTTGAGAACTTTCTTCACCTTCTTCCTCACTTTCTCCTCTTTCTCAGCCCACTTCTCCCTGGCAAGTCAATAAATAGACAGACAGAGGCTCATGATGGGGTTATTCAGCACCTTCACATGCTCCGTGGCCAGTGGCAGCCAGCCTCACCTGTCCCCTTCCAGCTCACACACGAATTTCACCACTGGGCTCCAGTCGAAGGCTGCCGGTTCATTCCTGAGCCACTTCTCCAGCTCCCGGCGGTTCCGGTCTGTGTAGTCCAAGCAGATGATCTCCTGGAAGCGCTCACAGGCGGACAGGAGCTGGTAGATGGTGGGGCCGCAGCCAACATCTATCAGGGTATGGCCACTGAGCCCTTCTGGTGTGGAGGAGGGAAAGGCCATCCCGGTGAGGCTGTGCCCCGGGACAGAAGCATCCAGCCAGATATTTCTGCTGTATGATGTACTACACTATACGCAATACACGATACATATGCATGTTTATATACGTATCAAACGGCTCGCTGTGTGGGGCACACATGCAGCAGCCTGCAGCCCTGCAAATGGCGCTGGCTGCTGTTGCCCAACTCCGGGCAGGGGTGCGGGGTACTCACCCAGGGCGAACATGCTGAAGAGGCTCCTGAGGCTCTGTGTGAGCAGCGTGTTCGGCTGGCCCTGCGCGCTGCTGAGGGTGCAGAACTCCCGCAGATACTCCTGCGGGTCGAAGCTGCGCTGGTAAAACTCCGCGTCCGTGAAGGCAGCCGGAGCGTCCATCCTGCCGGGAGCAAGGTCTGCGCTCGCTCCTCCTGCCGCACGCAGCGCAGCCCGTGTGTACTTTCGGTTTTCCCCACCCTCCTGTGTCCTCTGCTCCAGACACGCTGCCCTTCCCGAGCAGGGCCCTCTCCCACACTCCATTGCTGCACCCAGCTTCACCGTGTAGCAACTCCCCGTTGGAGCCCCCCGTGATTAACAGCAATCCCTGGGATTACGTTCCCAGCCCTGTTTGCACGGTAATTGACAGCAGTGAAGCAACGTGAGCCGGTGTCACCGGCGCTCACAGCCCCACGGCTCCGTGAACATCAGCACGTCCACCACCTCTGCTCCTCAATTGCAGATTGAAGCTGGCATGTTTGGTAATGGGATGTGCGAGAAACCATTCGATGCCCTGGCGGGGACTGTCCGTGTCTCCACAGGAAGGGGAGATGGCTGCCAGCCCATGGGAAGTGCCTGCTGACGTTCCCAATCTGCTTCAGTCCTTTTGTTGCTTTCATTTTTATCAGCTTTTCCTGGGAAAACTGAAACTTCTCCTCTCCCCCAGCAGCAACCTGCGTTCCCAGCCTTGCTGCCTGGGCTTTGCCTCCGGCGCTGGCCGCAGACCCTGCCCCTGCCTGCACCATGCCCCAGCAGCCCCACGCCGTGTCCCGGTGGCACGGAGGGGACACGGGGGTAGCGGCTCCTTCGCCGTCCTCACCACGAAGAGGCAGCAGAGCCCCACGCTTCTCGCGGCAGCACCGCCTCGTCCTCTTCCCACCGGCGCAGCGGGAGCCGAAATGATCAAACAGTTTTAGGCTCATTACCGACCGAATCTATATAATTGGCCTCTGGGTTTTCTAAAGAGCCGCGTTAGGAGTGACGGGCAGAGGAGCCGCCGCCGCATCCCCAACCTAATAAGCGCTATTTTAGACCCTAAAGTGACTTTGTTTAACAAACCCTGCTCACCACACCGCATGCACGGCCAGGCCTGCCTGTGGAGAACATGCTGATGACGATGACAGGAAACATGAAAAGGACGTGAGCTCCAAAGATGAGCACTTTGAAAAGGTTTTCTCCTGAGAGCAAAGTGCTCCCTGTTACTCCAGTGACAAGACCCCAGCTAAAAGCCACTGACCCCGTGAGAGCCCCCTGGCCATGGGAAGCAGACCTGAGTTGTCTTTACCACAGGACATCAGCCCCTGAAGCAGGCACTGGCACTCCCAGCCTTGCATCTGGAAGGCCTGAGATAAACCCCATTGATGCCGGTGGTTTTGTTCCCAGTGCCCGCACCTCAGCAGAGCAAAGGGACCAGGAGGAGGAGAGGAGAGCTCAAGGAACCTTTGAGGTGCTGCACACCATACCCAGGCTCACACCCTGCCTGTCACACGCACCAGGCTGTGATGGGATGCTCTCATGAAAAGGAAGGTGCCAGCAGCGAAGTGATACTGAAAATCAGACATTAAACCCCAGCGATGCTTCAGTCTGTGCCTCTGGGAAGTGCTGGGGGTGGGAATGAGCCCCAGGGCCACCGCAGCAGCCCAGCGGAGGTCCCTGTTCTCAATCCTCCTGGCATAGTTCTGTTTTCCCTTGGCTCACTCGCTTCTCCCTCCCAGCTCAGCAGGGCTGGGGGCTCCATCCAGCCATTCCCAGGGAACCTGCCCAGGGCCTGAGCCCCAGAGCCAAGCCTAACCCCAGATGCCCTTTCCAGGCTCTGGACTGATGACTTCTTAAGCTGGGCTGAGGTGTGTGGAAGCAGCGTAGCCCTGTGGCTGCCTGCTATGGGGGGCTCCTGCTTGTCTCTGGTGCTGTTTGCCAGCACAGCCCCCAGAGCCTGTTTCATTCATAGAAGGACATGATTTGGGGATGTAAACTGCCAGCACCCAGAGCAGCTTGGGGTGTTTGTGAGCATCTCGTGGCCCCACTCCACATGGCTGGCTCCTGGCAGCGGGATGCAGATCCTGACTCCACGGCCCCCTGGACCACTCTGCCGCTGGCGCTTCCCGCCTCCATTGAAACACCAGCTCCAGGCACCTGATTTCCATCCTCCCCCCGTACTTTTATTTCAACTAAAGTGTGTGATTAGGGCTCTGCGGGCTCCATTGTCATCCACCTAAGTGCTCCTCTGATTGGTATAAACAGCATTCCGGTATTTACGCTGCAGAATGCACTGCTCTGCTTGCAGCCATGGGTAACACAAAATCTGCCATTGCAGGGAGCAAAAACCATGCACAAAAAGAAGTGCCTGCAGAAAGCTGCCGAGGGCAGGGGAGGAGCAAAGCCCTCCCTGATGAGATAGGGCTGTGTCCCATGAGCCTAAGGAGCAGCACCTTGGCCTCATCCCATCACCTGTGTAGCAGTAGCCAGGAAGTTATAAAGGGCAGGGGGCAAGGGGAGGCCTCAGCAGTTGCAGCAGCTCATAGTACTTGAGGTTCGGGCTTTGGTGGTGTTTGCTGTGAGAGAAGACCTTGTCTCCATGCTTGACACCTGGTCTGAAAGGAGCAGGCTTGTGCCTCAGGGTAGGATCTCAACCCGGGACCTGGTTTTAAGCCTTAGTAGCCCCAGAACTCGTCCCAGCCTTCGCAGCAGCATCAGAGCCCTGCAGCATGCTCCAGCCCATCCCGGCACCCTTCCCATCCTCCTGCTGAGCCCACATCCCAAGAAAGAGGTAAGTGAAGCAGCAGGGAAGATAGTGAGTGGTGCTGGGAATGGTGCTCAAGGGATAGGAGCAGAAGTATCCTCTGGCTTATGTGCTTCTTACTGGTCTGAGCTTTGGATGCTCCCCTCCTTCGTGTTTGCAGGGGTATGTGTAAAGAAAGCAGCCGAAAAGCAAATATTTCCAGGCTCAGGTACTTGATGGAGAAAGGAGCAGCAGTTTTCTGTTGGCAGCACTGGTTATTTGAGGGAGGTGGAGTCGGTTGTGCTTCTTCAGGATAAAATGTGATCGTTTCTGAAATGCAGCAGCTTCTCAGGGGCTTTTGGAAACTCCACAGCTTTCTCTTGCAAGCATCGTTAGGATTCCATGGGTGGAAGCTTCTGGGTGGGTGGGTGCAATCCCTTGAGTCCCGGTGGAGCGGGTTGAAGTGCGGTGGTTGGTTGGTTGCTTTGGTGGTTGTGGAGAACACTTTGAGGTTCTCCTGTATTTCACTTGGTCAAAAACATTGCACTTGATGTTTCCCCATTGGACTTGGAGGAATAACGCCCTGGTGCCGTGCCTTTCCCTGTGCTGCTTCCCCCTGGGGGCAGAAGCAAGCACCGGTGCTGTCTGATTTTCTCTGTTATATGGGCATTGATGTGTTCCAAGTCCTTGAGGAAGGAGCAGGATGCTGGGGTCCTGATGGAGATTTACGCCGCTCTTTTCCTGGCTTAAATCTCTCTGTGCTGCAGCAAGGAACTAGTAATTAACTGTTATAAGGCTGTTTTACAGTCCTGTGGAAACCCTTTCCATCCGCTTTGTTTCGGTTGGGTATATCTTTTATTCCTAGTTTTTGGGAGCGTAAAACTTTACAGCATTTGCTGCAAACCTTCATACTTTGCTTTGTGGTTTATTGCTCCCTCTGCAGATATATCTTACTCATAAATAAGGCTTTCATCTCTACAGTACTTGGGTAGGTTCTGCAATGCCTCTGAGCAGTTGCATTAATGGGACTTTGCCTAGAAATCACGTTGTGATTCGTCTCCAACCTCAGTCTTCCCTTTGCCTGACAGTACAGAGCTCTGCAGAAGGGCCAGGGTGGCAGCAGGATGCTCAGCTGTGTTATTCATACCCCAACTGGCAAATAAATCCCTTTGGCATGGGGGGATGTGGAAGGTGGCTTCAGCCAGTTGAGTGCTGGCTGGGTGTCTGCCCCGGGGCTGCTTGGGGTGGCGGAGCCTTGGAGCAGAGACCAGAAAGGGGCCTGCTGGGCTGGTGCAGGAGCTCCTCCAGTGAAGCAGCACATGGGCATATCTGAAGGGAAGGCACCATGGTGCTGGATGACACGTTCCTTTGCTCCTCAGGTAGCAGTAGAACTGATGGAGCAGAGGTTCCTTTGGGTTCCGTGCTGGTGTCTCGTGACTGCCCTGAGCTCTTATTTTGATGGCAGTGCTATGAGTGGCTCTGGTTTAGGCTACAGAAGCTTGTAGAGATGCGCTCTGCTCGACATCCCTGAACATGGCTGATGCTGGCTCGGATGCCCAAGCATCAGGTGGGCAGCATGCTTGCCAGTGCCTTTGTCCTTTAGAAGTGAGTCAACATCCATGGTGAGGAAGGGGAGGCAAACGGGGGTCTCCTGCATCACTGGTTCTGTTTGTGTGCAGAGGAAGGGGATGAGGTGCTTGGCTTCCAGGCATTTGTCATGGGTCCAAGGGGAGGGCAGGGACTGGTCCCTAATGCAGACCCAGAGCAGCTGCTATTTTTCCAGCGTTGTCATGACACAAAGGATTCGGAAAGGTGTGGGATATTAATTGCAGCTTTCAGCCCCCTGCATGCTACATGGTAATTTCATCGCATTACGGTGATAGCGGTTTAAAACCCGCCCTCCTCCCGGCCCCTTTTAACAAAACACTTCTTGCTTCGCAAAAACACATTTAGGGCCAATTTGTTTGGTGTCCAGAATGGCAGCAATTAACGGAGTGCTGTGCTTTGGGAATAAATGGAGACGCTGGCAGCAGCGTGACCTCTGCCAAAGGGATGGGACCAGGCAGGGAGGTTGCTGTGGCTCAGTGGTATGTTGTGCTGCATGGCACTGAACTTGGGGTGCCTGGTACTGTGCCTTTGAGCATCCCACCACTGCCCCGCTGAAAGCTCCTAAGTGCATTGGGTGCATGAATCCATCCCCACCAGCCAGGCACGGTGCTCCCCTCGGTGCCCATGCACGGCAGCACCCACAGCAGGGACCGTGGCAGGTATCCCATTAGCGATGCTTTATGGGAGCATTTGCCGGTGCCGGTACCTGCTGCCACAGCTCCAAATGTCAGTGCCGGGCGCGGGGAGGTGTGTGGTGGGAACAGGTGGGATCTGAGCATCTCTGGGGCCCCACTAATTCACAGGCTATAAATCAATGACAGGAACGGGGACAAAGTCCTATTCTAGGTGCAGGTGACTGAGGTATTCTCTCGGCAGGTGGAGGGAGGGAGGGAGACCTGTCAGTATCAGGCTGCCTTTGGTTTTACTGTCTGTGCCAGCCTTAAAGGTATCCTGCATTCGGTGCTGGCTTTGCTCTTGCTCAGGGGTTTGGAAGCAGTGGCAAGTCTCACTTAAAATAATGAGCAGCCCTGCAATTGCACGAGGCTGCCCGCTCCCAGTGCGGGTGTCTCGCATGTTCCTCATAAAGGAACCAAAGCTTTCCTTCACTTGGAGACCGCCTATGGTTGGAGCTGATGGCATCAGCCCCATCAGTAGATGGCACAAACCCAGTCGCACCCACACAGACCTGGTCTCTCCCCTTCACAGCAGGCGTGGGGTGGGAGGTCTTCCTCAGCCCACTCCCCTCATTCACTAGCATCCCAGCTGCCTCCAAGGACCAGGGTCACTGCTGTGTGGGAGGGATGGCGAAAGGGTGCTTTGGTGAGGCATGGAGCTAAAAGCACTGGGGAAAGGGACAAATACAGGAGGGGCACTTTATGAAGCAAGGTGTGTAACAAGCTGTTACCCGCAGCTCCCTTTTAGTTGTGTCTGTGCCCTTTTATCTGTTTGCTGAGGGATCCTTGGGCTCACGTCTGGACAAGGTTTGAGTGGTCTCTGTAAAGTGCAGCTCGGTGCCAAAAGAAGGGCGGCCCTTTTACTGTCTGCTTTTACAGCAGGGCAGTGGGCCCTGTACCCAGGCATCGTGCTGGGTCCCTGGTGCAGCTCTGGAGCTTGATGCCTTGATAACTATAAATTAACATGGAGCAAGCATTGCAGCTGCTCCATTCCTGCATTGCACTGGTCTCGGTGGGTTGTTTGCAGCTGGCTGTTAAAACCGCGGGTGAGTGCAGTTGGTTGGATTAATACCCGATTGTGAACTGGGAGATGTGAACCTGTAGCTGGCTTGGAGGGAGCCGTGGCTGGTTGGAGCTGTGCGGCGGGAGGCAGGGAGCGTTGGGCACTCTCCAGCTCTGCCTCTAGGAAGCACTCTGACCTCAGGGAAATCGCTGCCGCTCTCCCCAAACCAGGGAATGTCGCTCCCAGTGCATGCGCAGCTCCATTAGCGGTAGCAGAGCTCTCTCCTGGTCATCCTTGGCTGGGGGGTGAGGGATGCTCCCCGTTATGGATCAGCCCCCACTCAGCAGTTCGTGATCCAGTCGAGGGAGAAAATGCTGGGAGATGGCACTGCCTTGTCCCAGAGAGGGAAACCCTTTCCCATATGGGGCTTCCCCTCTGAAACAGGGTGCATGGGGCAAGCTGAAAGCCTGTTTTGGAGGCTGCAGTGAGAGACGAGGGGTGCTGGGTGCTGCTGAGGACCCCCCTCACCCTGCAGAAGCACAGGAGCAGGCAGTTGCCACCCGGCCCAATGAGCCCGTGCAGATAGTGGGGAGATGAATGGTGCCATCTCCGTACTGTAGTGGCTTGGCTGTAATTTCTGGGAGACGTTTATTAGAGGCATCCTTCCCGTTTTCCGGGACTGTGACTCCTTGGGCAGGGGGAATTGCGATGGGGATGGTGGGAAGTGCAAGCCGGTATTACCGATGAGTGCGGTGCCCAAGCCCCCATCCATTCCTCTCCTCCAATTTTCTCCTCTGACAATTTATAGGTTAGTTTGATGCTTGAATAGCTGAGTCTCTCTAGTAATATGTATTCTCTGTAAGTATTCCCCGCTGTGGCGTATCCTAAGAGAACTCCATCAAATAATTATCTTCCCTTTTATTTATTCACAGTCTTTTCACTCGATCTGCATCACGATAAAATATTCCAATGGTTCCCTCTTAGCACCGAGCCTTCCCCCGATTGTAAAGTGTATTTATGTACAGTATTAAATCCGCCCAGCACAGCTCTTTATCTCTGCACTCTTCACCGTTAGATGCTACCACCGGGTGCTGGCTGTGGCCACCTCCTACCTTGACACCGGCATCCCTGGGGCTTGCCCGGAGCATGGGGTTGGAGAGGTTTGCAGGTGGCCAAGGACAGGGCTGCAGGCTGGCACGGAGGGGTGGCGAAGGGCAGCCCCACCTGGGAACCTTCTTGCCTCCTCCCTGGTGCTTCCAGCCGGGATGCGGCTGCCTTGCCGAGCCGAGTCGCCCGCTGTCAGCACAGGGACGTGACTGCAGGATGGCCGAGTGCAATCAGAGCAGGGAAGAAACCAATAACCTCTGGTTTCCCCCCTCTGGAGCGAGTGAAGGAGCAGCGCTGCTCTTCTCCGAGGGATGGCCAGGGCTCCCTGCACTGGCCTCTCAAGGAAGGCTGCAGCCTGAAGGGCTTGTTGTCCGGTGGGCAGCTTTTTAGGTGTAAAGACAGGGGATTGAAGGAGATGGAGTTAGAACATGGAGCTTGAGGGGTGGTTTCCCATGCTGGTGAGCATTTTGGAGCAGTCCTTGGAGGAGCTGTGGGCATGTGTATTCCATTTACTGCACCTCCCTTTGCTGCTTTAACCAGCCTCTGTGCGAGAGGGCAGGAGCAGTGGCTGCACCTACCCGAGATGCGCAGGCAGCATCGCGCCGGTGCCGCTCTGCAGGCATGAGCTGTCCCAGGCTTTTCCAGGCTGACAGGGC